TGACGAAAAAGTAAGAGGAACTTCCGCGTACACTTGAAATGAAAGCCTTCCCCTTTGCTATTTTTTGATTACTCTACGCGGATGACAAACAGCGGAGCACTAACCATAAGAAGAATTGTGGCCAAGGCGTGGAACAGACTCGTAAACGAGGGAGCGTTAAGGATGATCGGAGATGCCAGTCGAGCTAAGGGGATTTTTCAAAGGTGTTTTTGCTTCATAATTTCGAGTCGTTAGACTGGCAATCTGCGACCTTCGTGAACACCTATATCTTACCCATTGAAAGGGCTCTATCCGAATTTTTCGGGGGGTGGGGGGAAGGATTTGAGCTTCCTCTCAATCCCAGTACCGACTCAGCTCGTGTCAATAGCCATTTCGCTAGAGTTGAAATCTCCAACACCCGAGCTAAAAAGAATATCTTTCCATGTAGTTCTGTCTTGCTCTACTCGGAGTACTACCTCATGTTTTGATAACGTCGCCTTTCAGGCTGTCGCTGTGAAGAGTATAATACTGGGTTCTGCCTTATCCGCCGTTGGTGCCCCTCCAGCACTCGCGATTGGTGCGGGTTTTGCTTTTCTAACCTTTGCGACCCCTGTGTCGAAATTAATCAATCGCTACTATGGATCGAACTTTTCTTTGTTCTAAGCACTCTATTTCACTGTGAATATGTGCGATTCGGTTGGTATTAGATTTTATTATCTTTAAGAGAAACTTTGTTTTTCTTGGTCGAATTGTATAGTATCATGGAGAATGATAGTTTTCCAGTTTTCAGTCTATTCATTCGAGTGTTCTGTAGATATTTTGCACCTTTCTGTAGAAATCTTACATATTTGCATGTTATTAGCCTCCGCCATTCAGTTTATCCTTTCAATCATTACAGTTAGGAACTGCAAACTTTCCTCTCGATCTTTACTATGTTAATTATGTACTCAGGGTCAAGTGTGTCACAATGAGGGAGTGTCAGCGTCGAATACGACTCTCATTTTTTTCTGAATAACCCAAATTTACAAGCC